GCATAACTAACCACTCATATAAACCATGTTTCGTTTTAAAGGCTGTTTTCCATTCATCACCTTCCTTCATCCTAATCTGATGATATCCACTCTTTAAATCAATTTTAGAGAATATGCAAGAACCATGCAACTCATCTAACATGTCATCTAATCTAGGAATAGGGTGACGATACTTTACAGTGATTTTGTTGACCACACGACAATCAATGCACATACGCCATGTCCCATCCTTCTTAGGCACAAGTAGCACTGGAACTGCACATGGACTCATGCTTTCTCTCACATGTCCCTTTTTCATGAGTTCTTCGACCTGCCTTTGAAGTTCTTTCGTCTCATCGGGATTGCTTCGATATGCTGGTCGGTTTGGAATTGTTGCACCAGGAATGAAGTCAATTTGATGCTCAATTCCTCTTATTGGTGGTAAACCATTAGGAACATCATCTGGGAACACATCCTTGAAGTCCTGCAAAAGAGATTTAACCACACTAGGCAAAAAATCATTAAGTTCGTTAGTGTTGAAATAAGCATCTTTATGCAAAAGCACAAACATAGGCTGGTTTGCAAAGAACGCAGCCTTGACATCACTTTCTTTTGCATAAACATTCACTGATTTTCTCTCTTTGTTTTCAACACTCTCAATCTTTTCTCTCTTTTTGGACTCTTTTTCTGCTGTTTTCTCTTTGTTTTTTGTACCCTCAAGCTCACTCTCTTTTTTTACTCTCAGTTGATCCTCATAAACCTGCCTTGGACTCAATGGTGCTTTTGCATGATGAATGAATAGCGATTTTTGAAGCCATCATGTGTTACTCTCCTATCATATTGCCATGGTCTCCCCAAAAGTAAATGTCCAACATGCATGGGAACCACGTCGCACAGTACCTCATCCTTATATTGTCCGATAGAGAATGAAACCAGAACTTGCTTATTTACCTTGATTTCTCCACAATCATTTAACCATTGCAGCTTATATGGCCTTGGATGCTTCATCATAGGTAAATTAAGCTTTTCAACCAAAACAGTGCTTGCTACATTAGTACAACTGCCACCATCAATAATCACACTACATACCTTATTTTTGATATGGCACCTCATGTGAAATATGTTGTCGCGTTGTACTTCGTCATCTTCTTTGGCTTGCACATTCAAAGCACGCTTGGTGACAAGCAGTTCTCCATCAACAGCATATTCCATGCCATCATCAGCGTCTTCCAATGGTGGCATAGAGTCATCATCAGATTCACCTTCTGTTTCAATTTCTCCATCCTCTTTCAAGATCATCGTGTACTTATTAGGGCATTGTGATGCAATATGCCCTCTTCCCAAGCATCGAAAGCACTTGATGTCTCGGTTTCTACCTTGCGTATTATCTGCTTTACTCTTCTCATTGCTGCCCACTTTTTTTGTCTTAGATGCTGCAGTTTTAGGCTTAAAAACAGAATTTTCTTCCTTTTTGCTCCAATTTGGTTTCGAAGAAAATGAGGAACCTGGATTTTGCCCAATTCTGCTAGTGGCTCCTTTACGCTTGAGTTGCCGTTCTACTTTCACCGCCATATGCACCATATCTTCCAATTCCACATAATGCTGCAGCTCCACCACATTAGCTATATCACGATTTAAACCATGTAGAAACCATGCCACTGTTGCTTCTCTATCCTCTTCGACATTTGCTCTGACCATTGCGATTTCCATCTCCTTGTGATAATCCTCAATGCTTCTGGACCCTTGAGTAAGGCCCTATAATCATTGATAGAGATCGCGGTAGTAGTGACTAGGAACAAACCGTTTTCTCATCACAGCCTTCATCTCTTCCCAAGTGTCAACAGGATGCTTTCGATTTCTACGTCGACTAAGCACAACCTGATCCCACCACACCACAGCGTAATCAGTAAATTCCACCGCTGCTAGTTTCACCTTTTTCTCCTTAGAGTAGTTATGGCAATCAAACACCAATTCCACCTTCTTTTCCCACTCCAAATACACATCTGGATCATTTTTGCCTTGAAATGGAGGAATCTTCATCTTGATGCTGCCTAAGTCATGATCTTGCCAATCTCCCCACCTTGCTAGATTTTGGTCTCCTTTGTTAAATCTATATCTTTGACCCCCTCTACCTCTCATAGACCTGTCCATGCTGAAATTTGAGTCCTGGGCATCATTGTTGAATGCATCTTCATCATTGTCATCAAGATCGTGATTATGCAAATTTGGACTTCCATTCTGTATTTGGTATAACTTGGCAATGGCTGCATCTTGCTTCTCCATTTTGTCTTTAATTTCACCAAACATGATGTCTAGCCTCTGAAATTGTTGTTGCATAGCTTTAAGCATGAAGGAATCGTCCACTTGGTGTTTTCTGTCATCACCGCTTAACATGATTGAAACCTGCAAGGAATGTTAGAAACAGAAAAATAAAAGGACCTCACAACACTCCCTTACGTGTTTCACTTCCACTCTCTCACAGAATGGCACTCAACGCTTGTGTTTTGCACACTGTAGAACTTGGCTTTTCTCTCAAGTGTTACTCACACCTCATGCCTTTTTCCCTCACTCAACTTCCCTCTTTCAGTTCGTTATTGAACTAAACAAGCTCAAATCAAGTTATTTTGCGACAATCTAACTCCAACAAATTTGGAAGAGTTAAAGGAAACAGAAAGACACAAAGGAACGACCAAGAAAAGCAATAAAAGAACCAACCCAAAGAAATTAAAACAAACAGATCAGTTGACTATTCCTTAATGCAGTAGGATTCCTAACTTAGGAAGGAATAAACAAAATTGCTATCTCCTTGTTTAAATAGAACTCAAAGAGAATTTCCAACTCCTTATTGGAGTAGGATTCCTTTTTCTTTAAGGATTTGGCCACAGATTTCTTCTCTATATAAGGAATTCCAACCACAGAATTGTGTTGCTTGTTTCTCTCTCCTTCTTTTTTTTCCGTTTTTTTTTTCTTTTTTTTTTTGTTCGATTCTTCCTTTTTGTTTTTTTTTTTCTACGACTTCTCTCCTCTGATTTTTTTTTTCTTCAGAACCAGCAACACAGATTCAACAGAACAAGATGAAAAGAACCCTAATTTTTTTTTTTTTTGATGTAAAACCTGAAAACTAAAGATACGCAAACCTGATTTAGAGATTTGATGCTCTGATACCAAGATGATGAGAACCCCAAAGAGAACAATGAGACCCACAGCACAACAAGGGATTTCTGAACTCCAGGAAAGCTAAATCAGGTTTATAATAGGACCTTAACTCGTTGTTTATGTCGCAACAAGAACCAAAGGTAAAAACCTTGACCCGTTGTCTATGACGCAACAAGAACCAGAGGTATAAATTTGGTTGACGCCACACCCTCGAACAATTAAGAACGAGAATGATAAGTCAGGTTAGAACGCCACAAGAATAATCTTGATAAGTTCTGTAAAGTTCTGAAACGAACCAAAGAGAAAAGTCTCTCAAAAACTTAGATTCAATAGCCTCCTCAATTAGGGTTACAAGCCCCTTTAAATAGGGAAAAGTAATTCTAATCAGAATAGGAAACTAACACCCTAAGCCCTAATCATAATAACCACGAATTGGGCCTCAAATAAATGAATGTTCAGCCCAAAATAATACAAAAGAATGTGAAATTCACTAAAAGTAACCTAAAGTAACATGAAATATTAGTTTGTTACAAATTGCGACAAAATTGCGGGATTTTGACGCAAACTGTGTAGTTTAGCATATATGACCTCAATTAAGCTTCTCTTGAACCTGAATGATGTTTATCATGCCTTGATAATCATCCAAGTCTCGATTTACTTCTTGTATGTTGTTTTCAACCCAGATCTGCTCAATAAGGCCATTTAAAGCTTCATGCATCTTCTTAGCTCTAGCTCGCGCGACTGGACCTCCTTGGGTGTGTAATGGATCACATGACGTGGTAGATATGCTGTCGTCTTGATTCCCATCAGGTACATTCCTAGTATTGACCAAGTTGCTAATCTTCTTATAAAATTGTTTCTACATATGTTGTTTCAATTGTTAAAATTCAAAACTGGGATTGGTTAAGTCCTTCCAATCCAATTTGAGAAGGAGTATGAAGAATACATCTAGGTAGGAGTCAAGTAAGGAAATAAGAGCAGAATCAAGGAGCAAGTCAAGCCATGAATCAAGCAAGGAAATAAATGACAAAAAAGAAAGGAAACTATATCTTGTAATCGTAGAAATTGAGCAATAGTCAAAACTAGGCTTTAGTACATAATTCTAGGCATATATTTAGGATCAAACACAACATGCAAATATATATACAAATGTTGCTTGTATAGAATTATTCAATCAATATATAACTCAAGTGTTCACAAACTCCTCTCATGTTCCATTTCTTTTCCACTCCAGCATCACATGGCAAGAATTGACCTTATAGGGTTTTATTTGAAAAAGAAAATTAAGAATATTTTTAATTGCATAGCTATTAAACTCAGAGAAAATAAAGGAGTAACTACTACGAGATAAGGATAACCCAAACCATAATGGACAATTAAGGAGAGTGGAGTAATTACCACCAAAATGACCTCTAGCAACAAGGTAAAACCATCTCTTTGGACATAAATTAATTCTTCAAGCCTGCCTATCTCTAAAATTGACCTACACTCTTGTTTTTAGCTTTGAATCAATCTACTTGTTTTTTACATAAATTCTAGACTTCAGTTTGTAGATTTCTTGTTCATCATTGTGTTCTTGCATCTTTCAATTATTGAATTTAGAAGTGAACTAACCTTGTAATTTGAGTCTGCCTCGTTGATTTGGTTAATAATTTTCTATGAATTCTATTTCTTTATGTATGATTTTAATTTGGTTGAATGTTTGCTTCCACCATGTCCTCGTTCATTTGTTATTTCATGACTTATAATCTGATTGCTCTTAATTATGGAATAGACATTAGTTTAGTAGATTTCCTAGTTTTAGGCTAATCTTTGTTAAGACTTTGAATTAGTAGTTTATTCACTTAAATCTCTTATTAGATTAATTTGCTCTTAAAAAGTTTAAAAAGTAAATTAGGTTAATTTTTGGAAGTCATCATAGTTTGTAGGATTTTAGGCATAGTTTGCAAGTTTGCATTGTTTCTAGTCTACAAGTTTATTTCAAGTGTGTTGAGGTAGGGGGTTGATGAGTCAGCAATGATAATGACATGGAAGCTAATTAGGATGGCTCTGATAGGAGATGAAGAGGGCCCTTTTGGCTTGCACCTGTTTCACATGCAAAAGGCTATGTGCCACATGCCATTTCCCTTCATTCAACAAAGATGAGTTGCACAAGATTTTTCAGCAAAGTTTGATAATACATCTTCCCCTGTTAAGTTAGAAGATTGGAGTAAAGTCTTCCCATCTCTTTTTCTTTAGTAAGGATGAACTACAAGCTTTCTCTAGCAGAGTATGGAAATGGAGTTTCCCCAACCAAACTGGACAAGTGGGGCAATGACAATGCTCCTTCTGGTAAGGATGAACTACCTTTCTTTAGCAAAACTCAAAAATAGAGCTTTTCCAACGAAGTTCGGGAATAGAGCTTCTCTAGTGAAGTTTGGGAATAAAGCTTCTCTAGCGAAGTCCAAAAATAAAGCTTCCCTAACCAAGTTGAAAAGAGTGGGATGATGATGGTGCTCCCAAGATAACAATTACAAAGCCACCAAAATAAATGAATGGATGTTGAGCAACCTGATGCCTCTAGCGAAGTCTAAGTGTAAGATTTTTTCAACCAAGCAAGACAAGCTAGATGGAGGTAATGCCTCCAGATGACGATTATGCAACCATTAAAAAAAATAAATAAATGGGTGAGTGAGATTGTAGCCTGGTTAGAAAATGTAAATATCAACTTGTGCAATAAAAGGAGCATATCTAAATGCAATATACTATAGAGTAAAAGAAATAAATAGTAGATATGCTCCCTACCATCTTTAAAAAAAGAATGAAATTCTAAAATAAATAACCTTTAACTTGGAGTTCAAAGTATAATGATTTCTCTCCAAATTTATGCATATAAGAAGAAATAAGTTAGAAAGTAGTGATGGGAGAAAGAAGGATGACCATGACCATTGTGGGGGGCATTTAAATGGAGGGCTTGACCCCATTTCTTGATCCTAACTCTGCCATTTAATCTTCTAATGCTCAAGAAAATAACCCAAAATCTGAAACTATAGCATGCAATCTCCCAGCCATGATGTCCTGTAAGTCTGGAGTGTATTTTGTACGGCTAAAAGTGTAGAAAATATGAGAAAAATGGAGATTTCTGGGAGTTTTTAATGAATAGGGCACTAGGTTGAAGGTGAAGAGTTTTTTAAAGGAAAAATGGAGTTTGGTGCATGAAGGGTCTCTCCAAAATCTGAAAACTACTGAAAAATGAAGGAAAAATCAATATTTATATATGCAATGGCATTTTAGTAATTTTGGGTTGATGGGTCAAAGTTGCCTAGCATTCCAACGAATAGATTTGGGTTAGGTAAAGACAACTGTCGAGTTTTGAGTGGTTTTGGATATTATTGATAGCTATTTGAACTATTAGTTCCAACGAAGAACTATTAGTTCCAGTGAAGAACTATTGGTTCCAATGAATAACTACTGGTCTGCTAGGGACTCCCTATTTCTAGTCATTTTTCAACTATGTGAAATACCATTTTTGGAGGTGTACTTGAGTACAACTAGCAAAATCAATTATATCCAAGATTTTGGTAGATTTTCGAAGCAAAATCTAATTTTTTCAACAGTTTCTAACATAATGAAACTTGTATAACCACCCTTTTTAACAATTGCCAATGTACTATAACTTATGCAGCCACTTTTACATTAAATATAGCTGCAACTTGTTGATGGAGACTCAAATAGCATGTTTGGTTGGTTTTTAACAAAATTCCAAGTCTTTTAGTTAGCATCAAATAGTACAGTTTTGGGATCAAGCTTTGTCTCCACGTCTTGGCCACCCAACCCTTCCTAGCGAAGTTGGGCAACATCGCCGTCTCTAAGTTTAGTTGGTGCAAATACCTCGCTTTGCCAGGCTAGCATGAATACCTCACTTCGCCAGACAGGCAATGCTTGTCCATCTATGCTTGCCAAGCCCCTACTCCCATAGTTTATCTCAAACAATCCCCATGAGTTTGGATTCATGGGCTCATTGATGACCTACATATAAAGATAGTGATCAATTGATGAAAATGATGAAATTTAATAAATAAGGAAAAAAAAAAAGGAACGAGACTTCCTTATGTATGTCTGGCGATGTAGCCATGTACTATAGCATTAATATAGTTGGGCGTAGCCAGGTATTACAACATTAGATATTGATGGGCCTTTTGGTAAATGCATGTTGAAGGCATTAATGGCACTTAGATCAAGGCAAGTCTTGGTGATAGCATTCTAATGAATATTTTGAAAGGGATAGCATTCTAATGGAAATTGAATAGGTAGTTGAAGTTGTAGTATTGTGGTTGAGCATTCATCAACTTCACCGGAAAATAATACTAGCAATATAATCCTCCAGCCATGTGAATTGTTTGAATCTCCCATGTACGTGCTCATCAAGTAAGTATTTGTATTCTTCATCTTCTTTTGTGATTTGACATTAAGAAGTTTTTTGGAAAAGATAAGCAACTTAAGTAGTGACAAAGAAATAGCAATAAGCTGCAAGCTATTGAATTCATAGTAGACTGCTCTATCCAAGTGAAATATGATGGTGTGAAATAAAGCAATAACCCTCCATCCGAGCAATACCAATAATGATGGACATCTTGTTTAAAAGATAGAGTAAAGATAAAGGCTCTCCATAGCCTTGTTATAACTGTAGGTTATGACCAACAAGCTTCGTTGAGCCTTCCTTTTAATAAAGATGATAAAATGATGATGAAGATGAAATGGGCACACATATGTTGACGTACTCATAATGGACCCAATATGTTGAAGAAG